CTCGTACGCCGCGCGCCGTGCCGGCTGTCCGTGAAGGCTGCATGGGGGATCTTTGTCTTTGTGGTGCGAGCATTTGCATATGCGTGCCTAAGCACGTGCGCGGGCGTGTGTACGTGCATGCACTGTGTGTATGTGCGCATGTACGTTTTTTGTATGCGTGTCATGCATGTGTGTATGTGTGTCATGCGTGTGTTTGTGTGTGTCATGCGTGTGTATGTGTGTGGTCATGCGTGTGTGTATGTGTGTGTCAGGCGTGTGTATGTGTGTGTCAGGCGTGTGTATGTGTGTGTCATGCGTGTGTATGTGTGTATCATGCGTGTGTATATGTTGTGTCCTATAACTAACCACACGGATACTTCTTGGAGGCAACGCGTTTTATTATAACAACTCTCTCTCGTTACTCACTACCAGAGGTGGGACAAAGTCATTGTTATGCAAGTCCAAGTCGAGTCTGAAGTCATCAAATTCATGACTCGAGTCTGACTCGAGTCCAAGTCACATGACTCGAGTCCACACCTCAAAGGTGGGACAAAGTCATGTTATGCAAGTCCAAGTCGAGTCTGGAGTCATCAAATTCATGACTCGAGTCTGACTCGAGTCCAAGTCACATGACTCGAGTCCACACCTCAAAGGTGGGACAAAGTCATTGTTATGCAAGTCCAAGTCGAGTCTGAAGTCATCAATCATGACTCGAGTCTGACTCGAGTCCAAGTCACATGACTCGAGTCCACACCTCTGCTCACTACTGCACTATACTACACGGCGGCTACGCTACACGGCGGAAGACTGGACCGCTTCAACCCCGGCTTAGCGAGAGCCGCGGTTGAGGGTCCCCGTGGTCGCTGGGTCCAGTCTCCAGGTCTTCAGATGTCTTGAGGCTTCAGTTGGCGAGTACTGCCCTGACCGTCCCGAGGGTTGGCCTTTTATCCCCAAGTCGGGGTCACCCCTCCCCTCACGACCCCCCCCCCCCCCGCCCTCTAGAACCTTCTAGAAGGCTCATCTTATGGGGCCTTAGGAAGTGGTGGGAGGCCATTATCCCCCTCAGTCCCCAGCCCCTGGGGGGGTCTGGGGTGTCAACCCCTGGTCACGGAGGGGCGGGGGTTGACCCTCGGTTAACCCCTACACACCCAGCTCTCTCTCGGCTGCCCCCTGACGGCCTGTGAGCGTGGTGGCAGCTCAGCTGCCTACAGCGCCTTATTATGGCGCAACACCCCCCCCCCCCTCCGTAGCACCCAGCCGTCTCGGCTGGCAACAATTAGAAAGCAACAATTAACAAAAGGGAAGAAAAAAAAATACGCGAGCCTCAACAGGAAAAGAAAAGAGTAAGCAACCATAAATACCCTAACCCACCTGTACAAACCTACACTATATACAAGCGTGAATCATGAAGGGGTGGAGCAGTGGTGCATGAATAACGACCCCCGGCTCACTGCACAATGTACCCCACACGAGTGCAATAAATGTCAAGGGCAACGTGTACCCGATTCAGTGTGGGGTGGGTGTGTGTGGGACGCGTGAGCGAGTCGGGGTAAATGAAAATCTGTCCTCATGGCCGCCTTCGAGTGCGACCCCCTCAAGGCGATGGGACCCGCGGGTGTGGGCGATGGCGACACGTCAGGGGGTCGTTCGGGATGGGTGTCCGGGGGTGCGGGGGAGCTCCTCTTGGCTTACTCTTTGGTTCTTTCGTTAAAGTGACGTATCAAGAAAAAATAACAAATTAAATACTAGCGTACGACGTTTCGATTGCAACACAAGCAATCATCATCAGGTATAAATGAAATAGAAACACAAATCTAGTACACTTAGAAATGTAATGTAATACAACGGAGAGTCGGATAACATAACAGTCAACACCCTACCTGGTTGATTACGTTCTTCCTGAGAATGCTAAATTTGAGAGAGAGATAAAACACAGAACCAGAGACACACAGACAGACATATAAGTAGAGACAGATATCACAGAGATAAATAGAGAGAGACGTACATAGGCACACAGAGAAACTACGTCTCTGTGTCGAGGCGTTAAATAGAGAGAGGGGGCGGGGGCGGAGAGAGAGGGAGGGGTTAGATAAATTAGCATGTCAATGAGTGGCACGCTGATTCGGTGGAGCCGATGTCAATGGCGCCTGCGCAGGGCAATTGTAGCTCTGCATCAGCAGGCACGCAGCTCGGCTCGTCGGACACCTCACACAACCGGCTCAGACCAAGGGGGGATGAAACAGGAGCGCGTGACACAAAGAACGGCTTCAGACGCGACGGATGCACATATCAGCTGTGGCGACCCCACCGAATCTGCACGTATTGGGGCCGGACCACACGCACCACGTCAACGGGTCCCGCCACAGTTGAGCTAATTTAGGGGACATCCCCACGGGGACCTGCGGGCAGTGAAGCCACGCTTTATCGCCCAAACGCCACTTGTGGTCGGATATGCGGGAGGTCTGCAGGCGTTTGCTGGCGTGCTGTCTAGCCTCAGAATTGATCCTAGCCGCCTCTCGCGCCTCGGTCAGCATCTCGATATTAAAGCGAAGCGTGTCGGTGAAAGCGGCAGGCCGTTTAGGCGGAGAAATACCAAGTTGTATGTCGACAGGGGGTTCGTACTCCCTGCCGTACATAAGATCGAAGGGCGAGTAGCCAGTTGACGCATGGGGGGCCATGCGGTAAGCGGCCAGCACGCCCGGAACGCACAAGTCCCAATCCTGCTGGGACTCGCTCACCTGGTGGCTAAGCATCGTCGTCAGCGTTCGGTTGAACCTTTCCACCATGCCATCTGTTTGCGAAAGGTATGGGGACGTACACACTTTAGAAGTGCCAAGCAGGGTGCATACATCACGGAGCAACTTGGACGAAAAATGTTTCCCTTGATCGGTAAGAAGTCGTTCCGGCGCTCCCTTGTCCATGACGTACCCATTAAGGAATGCGTCTGTGATGGCCGCTGTAGACTGGTTGGGAAGAGGCCAGGCCATGGGCCAACGTGTAAAATACTCCGTTCCAACCAACAGGAACCGATTCTTGCGAGGGGTGGCTGTGAAGGGCCCTAAGATGTCAAGAGCGACCTGCTCATTGACCCGCGAAACCCTTATTGATTGCAAGGGCGGGCAACAGGGCTTCAGCGGGCGTTTTCGATGTGCGCACTGCACGCATCCCTTAACTAGCTCGCCGGGTATACAAGATGGATTTAAACACGAACTATTATATTATTTTACCAAGTAAGGTATGAATGAGCTGCTATATAGTAGCTCTTTTTCACAAGCGCCCTGCCCATCACAAATGTGGGTCTATGTGTAAGTCTCCTCGTCTCTGTGCGAGGCTGTGGGTCCATGTGTGAGTCTACTCGTCTCTATGTGAGTTCACAGGTCTCTTTGTGAGTCTACGGGTCTTTTTTTGAGTTTGTGGGTCTCTATTTGAGTCGATGGGTCTCTGTGTGAGGAGTCTATGGGCTGAGTGAGTATACAGCTCCGACTCCTGGCCACGTAGTTTTACCAGGGCCTGCCCACAATAATGAAGGTATTTAATAATTGTGAGCAGAGAGTCACGGACTTCAAAAGCATTAAGAACAACCCAGAGCATAGGCCTACTGATAGTATCATAGGCCTTGACCAGGTCAATTAAGGAGAGATGTAGGTTTTGTTGGAATTTCCTACACCTCTGTTGTAGCAAACGGACAAAATATGGCATCTGTGCAGGATTGCTCTTTCCTGAAAACACATTGGGCTCCACAAGCCTCACCTCAGCATACCTGGCTAGGGGATGTTGATTAATCCTTTCCAGGACATTTCCCGCAGCACTGAGGATGGAATTGCCCCTGTTGGGCATCCTTCCAACCCTGCAGAACCCGTCTGGGGTCCAGACTGTTATTATGATGTCATGTAGGCCAGTTTGCTCACAAACGCCACCATCCCTCAGCATTTCGCTTGGGAGATCATCTCTGCCCGGTGCTTTTCTTGTTCTCAGATTTCGTATCACCTTCTATACTTCCTCAATAGATAGCACCTTAGCCAGCCACTCACAGGAGATGGCTTCTTCTATACTCTTTAGTCATTTCGGTAAAGTCACGTAGGTGGAAATAAAACAAAATAAATCACGACGTTTAGATCGCAACACAAGCAATCGTCATCAGGTGAACACCTGATGACGATTGCTTGTGATTTTACCGAAAAAACCAAACAGTACGGATTCCTGCAGTAACGAAAGCTTCAAATTAAAATGACTTCTTCTTCCAATATATGAGGCACGACAGCCTCAGCAGGGTCATCCATATTTTTCCCCATAATGTTTTCCACGCTAATGGATTTCCCCTCCTCTAAGACTTCACAGAAATGCTCAGCAAATCTACAAACCTGTTCCTGGGGGTCGTAGATCATATCACCGTTTTTCCCTGTTGTATATATTGTGATTTAAAAAATTATTTAATACAATAAAGGTAAAATAATGAAATAAGAATGCACTATTGGCTCTCTCGTTGTCTAGGGGTATGTATCACCAATCGTGAG